GTGTGAGAACAGTTGGGCTTAGCAATCTTCATTGTGCCTGCATGTTGTCATCCGTATGTTTGGATAAAACAAGTAAAATGTTGTCATTTAGAAGAAAAACACCCCTGAGTTTTCCCCAACTGAAATTTGCAAGCTCAGTGACAACCACCGTGGCCTGTGTTGTAGAAGCTGCCTAAAATTACTGTGTCTATGTAACTAAACCTGGCACGTTGTGGGCAGTTTTGGAAAACAATCAATTGAAATTAAATTGAATCTGTTATTTTTTAAGATACAGAATTATGCCCTCTTTAAGCAGAGGGAATGATGGCTTGCTTTCTTCTGCTGGAACCCAGGAGTTTTTGATGCAGTGACCACTGCCCTACTTTACAAGCTGTCTCACTGGGGTGGAAGATACTGTGATGAGGGCTATCAGAAACTGGACCTAAATGTTCACGATACATTCAAACTGGTTCAAACTCAAAGGGCAGTCCCATAAACACTATCTCTGTGTTTTCTTTTTTCTTTTTTTTTTCTCCTGACCTTGAACAGGACATTGGGACAACACAAATAAATATTCTTCCTATCCCCAGGGAAAAAAAGATTAGGCAATTCAGGCCACAGAATTTTTTTGTGTAGCAAACTTAAGGGTGTTTAAGCAGCTTATTCATCCGTGCTCTTCCTTCCTAAGAGGAAGGCATCTTAAAACAGCAACCCAATAGCACAGAACACATATAATTTAACTAGTGAATTTTTGCCATCCTATCATAATATGATTAGCATTAGATCACAGCATTTCTTCCCAACTGTTGAGTGTGGGAATGGTATTCATTATAATTGTTGTCTCCTCAGGCCTGTATATTTGTATATTCATAAAATTCCTGGTGTGCATCTTCTGGTAAGTGGTGCAAATAGAAATGAAAGCAACAGTAGCTTGCTCAGAGTAAGCCTACTGGATATGCTTTGGTTTTTGCTTTTTGGAAAGGCTTTGTGACTTTACAGATGTAAAAAAAAGCAAAACAACAACAACAACAAGGTTGTTTTTTCTTGCAGCTTTCTCCACAAATGGGAAAATGCAGCTTCAAGTCCCAATTACAAAGCCTTCACTGAACCAGGCCAAATGGAAAACCTGTAAACCTGTGAGACTTGTATCCTATCACAAGACTTCTAAGTTAGAAAACAAGACAAAGAATGAAAACAAAACTAGAAATAGACTGTGTGACAAAACAGAACTTCAGTGAGCAAGAGAGATTGAGACTGTAAACAGTTAAGAAAAAAGCCTTTTTGTATTTCACTGTCCTCCTAAGCTTCTGTAACTCATGCCAGAATACTGAGCCTTCTAGTATTACTGTGTTAGGCAGCGGGGTGAGAATGTGACAGTAAAATAGATGACCGGACATCCCATACTAGTTGCACTTAATAGCAAAGTATTTTGTTTCAAAGACATGTTATGATAAACCAGCGCTAGGTACTGCAGAAGAGAGTGCTTGCACAGATCTCAGAATAAAATGGTGTTATTTCTATATGAAATGCAAAGCAATGAAGAAAGAACCAATGTCTGCCAGCCTAGTTTGATCATTTTAATATTATTCAGTCAGCAATATAACTTGAATTATATAGTTTTGGCTGAAAATATATTTACTTTGCAGATTTGTTAGAAAAAAAACGCAACACATTAAGTGTTACCAGTTCAGTTTTCACAGGCATTTTATGAAGATCACCCAAGGAGGTTTCAGCTGTGTGCTGCGGCCTGCAGCTCTAAACAGAGCACTTCACATTTCTGGGCCACCAGAGCAAGCTTACACATAGTGTAAGAGAGCTGAATTCTATCAATTGTGTGATGCACCACCATTAGGGCAATTCCACGAATTCATAGTAACTCTGGTCAAGGCTCAGTGGGAAAAACGTCCTTCTGCAGTGCTCTGACATTGGCCTGTTTATGAAAATGATGGCTGCAACTAATTGCAGAGGCAATCAGGATCAGAACAGTCTTGTATAAATTGGGGTCAATTATCAGAGTAACACCCCCACTGACTTCAGACTTGGGATCATATTAACCAAATCAAAGAGAGCACTTCACAAAGAATTCCTTCTATCATGCTCAGTGAACTCTTTTGTATGTTCAGGTGCACGTCGTCCCTTCTCAGTTGCCTCATGGGATGGAGCCTGGTGCTTCCAAAGGCCGGCAGAGAAGGCCATACATTCTCACTGTACCACTGATTGGTCCCTCCAGCATTTTGATTCCTAGATCCACAAAGCCAGTTAGCCTGCATCCCATTCTTACCAGACCTGGAGGTGCTCATGGCTGAGCCAGAACACTGTGCTGTTCCCTTCCAGAGCCATGTGCTATGATCTATGTGACAGGAATATGGTTTGTATATAATTAGGGAAAAATATCAGTGTTGCATAAAGAAGAGACTAGCTTACAAGTATTTGCCTGTGAATTTTAAAATTCCTGACAAAAAATAAAAATTAATTGTGGAAAGTAAACACTTGCATCTAGTCATAGCCAGTAAACATAAGCAAGAGAGAGGATGGAAAAAAAGATCTCTAGTTTTGTAGTCATTGTTTTTGTATTTTTTGTATTTTAACTCCCCTCCTTTGCCATGATGAAAAAATGCAGAGTAATGATTGATGCAAATACAGGATACAGAGTATTTGACTTTATCCTGTGAGCTAATACAATATTGTAGTTGTATTACAATGAAAATCCAGCACTAGCAGTAATGTGAGGTGATGAACAACTAACTTGCAATTAAGTAATCTCGCTCAAGTAGAAGCCTTTTTAATCCTGAACACGTCAACATGATGCTACCATAAAAGTGATCAATGCTACTAAGGAGCAGTTACCGATAAACTGACCCATGTCTTTTTCGTATTATTGTCACTTGATACAACAAACTTCAGGAAGCTTTTTTAGGTTCACATTTAATTTTAAGACATACATCACTGTAAACCAGAAAAGAAAAGCATGAATGATACTAAAGTCATGACACTTTCAGAATTGGCTTGTATGGGCACATCAAGATAGTACCAGCTCCAGATGCTGTTAAAGTTAATGAAAAGGAAAGCAAAATATTTTTTTTTCTGAGAGGTAAAAAAAACCAACCACATACATATATATATATATATGTGAGGAATGAGAAAGACTTCATTCCTTGCGGGAAAAAAAATAGATATATATATATATTATTTTGTATTATTCTAAGGTATTTAAATGAACAGTGGAAAAATCCAAAGGATTATAACATCAATATTCAGAGTGAAGGAATACATCAAGCAAGCTGAAAAGCCTTTTACATGGGAAGATGCTACTTCTGCTGAGTTTTCAGAAGATGTGATTAGAGCATGCCAGTGGCCAGGAATGCAGATAATAATACTCCCTAGCACGTGCCAGAAAGTTCAGGCTCCTAAGGACAGGGAAGTCACGACGGTGCAGGGCTGTGAGGACCAAAACTTGCTATATCAAACAGCAGCAGGCAAAAAATAATAGTTTTATTTCTTGTCTTTGGGAATAAACTGCTTATTGAGTGATTAAGAAACAAATAAAAAACTTTTATAGATTGAAACATCTTCTAACTTATTCATACAGCTGGTCAAATATCAATTAATTTTCATATGAAATGCAGCATGATTTTAAAACATAAACAATGACTATTTCCTTGCAATGGCAGTCCAGCTAAGATGCACTGACTTATTCAGTCAGTTATTATAATGAATCACTTCATGCCAGTTAACATTAACCACTAATTAGGATGTCAAATTAAACTTCTGGTTTTAAAGTTCCAATTTCCTCCATCATCTAGAAAACTTCCTTAGATTTTTTTTTCTGCAGAATATAGCGGAAGAGCAGAAACTGACACCTGAATCTTAAACTGACCTCGGTTACCTGTTGTAAATCCAGTTTAATCTCAGACAACGTTTGAAATCTGAACTTTCAGAGAACCACTGAATCGCTACCTTGCATTCAAGCTCTGCTTAAACAGCAAGATTTCAGTAGAAATCTCGTAGAAGTGCAGACACTTCTCACCATCCTACATCGTGTCTTTAAGCCCTAAGCATACACAAGGCTCTAGTAATGACAACAATTTAGCAAACCGGTACCTTGGAACTTCGTGATTTACCCTTAGCAAAAAGGCTGCTGATGAACTGAGGTACCCGAGTCTGTAAGACTGGCGAGTACTCCAGTATCCTACTGAGCATGCTAGAAAGTGCGTTACTGGGACGTATGTGGTCTCCTGTCAGCACACCTCTTTTTCCCTTGTAGTTAAAAAACCAACACAGGCAGGACAGAAGGCTAGAGACAGCGTGTGTGTGCTGGGGGAGGCGCTCCTGGGGCACTGCCCGTGCCCGGGGGCAGCCCCCCAGCAGCGCACGGTGATGCCCGTGCCCTAGGAGCAACGAGGGCGATGCGGGTGCCCGCAGAGGAGGAACGGAATTAAGAACAACCAGGCAGGAGAGGGAGGCAGGACCTAGTACAGGTTACTCGTCCGGCTTTCTACGCTGAGCCTGAAACAACCGTGCAGACAATTAGTGATTTAACGGCAGACGGGTCTGGTGCCTCTGCTCGAGTTAAGAACCGGGAGGTGCCGTAACTCCATAAATAAAGCAATTAGAGTTTTGTTACACGACTGGACGTGCCTGCGGGTTAGTCACAGAGCGCCAGGGAAGAACACGATGGGTGAGGTGCTGGGTCTGCTCCTGGACGCGGAACGAGACCATGAGAGAGGCGCAGTATTTTACGAGACACGTTATTACTAATTAGCAATAGTTGTTTCAGACACCCTGTACGGCAGGAGCAGCGTGTGGCCGGTGCCCTCACAACGCTGCCCGGCGCGGTGCTGTAACAGGCTGCGAAGCAACCGCGCGGCCGGAGCGCAGCCGGGGGGGGGACGGCGCCCACCCGGCCCCGACGGGGCGGCGGCACCCGAGGGCGCGGCGCGGCTGGGGCAGGCGGGCGAGGCCTGAGGGCGGCCCCGCTCCCTCCTCGCGGCTCCGAGCGCGCTCCCGACCCCCGCACTCACCTCAGCCGCCGCGGCGCGGCCCGGCCGGAGCAGGGCGAGCAGCACCGGCAGCAGCAGCAGCAGCAGCAGCAGGGGCAGGGGCGGCAGCGGGCGGCCGGGACAGCCCCCGGCGGCCATCCCCGCGCTGCCCGCGGAGCTCGGCTCGGGCCGCTCCGACTCTGCCCCCCGGGGCTGCCGCCTCGCACCCTCCACAGCGCTCCCGGCCCCCCGGGGTGGGGACAGGGGACAGGGCTGGCCGGGGCGGGGCCACCCCTCTCCTCCCACACCCCCGCACACCCCGCGGCCCCTGCCCGGGGCAGCGCCGTCTGTCCGGCCGGCCGTCGGGCACGGGGTAGCGAGGAACCGGGGGCTCTCCCACCTGGGAGCTGAGGTGAGCGGAGGGGCGGCCCCGGGCCGTGCTGGGACCGGGATGGGGACGGGGACGCGGCCCGAGAGGGGTCGGGGGGGCAGCGCTGAGGTGCGGCGGGACCGGGAGCTGGCGGCGGGGCTGGGTAATGAGGCGGCGGCCAGCGGGTGGCTAATTGCACGCTGCTGGCCGCTGGCAGCCCCCGGGCAGGTTTTCTGAATGGCAGCGCGATTTGCGAAGTGTTGGCTGTACCTGAACTTTATCGCATCGGTGTTACTGACAGGCGTAGCATCTCGCCAGAAAGGCTGCCGGGACTGTGGAGGTACCTTGGCCAGGCCAGCCCCACCTCGTTTGTGGTGTTCTGACTACGGGACATCCTGTGGTAGGGGGTTTGGCGAGCGCTACAGGAGATACAGGAGAAGCCTAACTGTACAATATAATATATGTATCTGAATTGAGTCTGGATTACTCATGAGATAGAAATCTAAAGTCTATCATGAGCATAAAGCTAACCACAGAGCTTTGTAAAACAGCCGCTCATACAGGCATGGGAGGGGAAGAGCTGGGTCTCCGTTCAGTACAGTGCACTGTCAGCCCCCTCCGAAATCTGCTGTGAAAGCGAGTTAGTAGAGGCTACTTGTCCCCACAGCTAAAACATGTCTCTGGAAGAGCAGAGTATCATGATCAGTGCCAAAGATCTTGTACATCAAGACAGACATGATCATCTTTACTCTAAAATCCCAAATATTGATGAGAGCAAGCTGGCAGGTACAGAAAGAGAAGGAAAAAAAATCCCTGGTTTTCAAACCAGATTGATGGTGACGATATAGAGAAAATGATACCTCCGGGAGAAAATCACTAAATCCATCCAATTGTGAGATTCCCTAAACCAATCGACTGTATCCGTGCTATGACTGTTATGCAGGAATACTGCAATAAGGACAAAAATGTGGCCTACAGTTTATAAGCCATAGGCATCTGTACATTGTAAGCACCTACATGTAAATCCATTGCTGAAATTCAACATTAGAAGAACTGCTGTAAGAGAGAAGGTAGCAGAGCGCCACACAAAAGTGAAAACAGGTGTGAGGTTCTCTGGGACAGCAGGGTCAGCGGAAGAGAACGGTCAGAAATGATGAAAGTTCAGACGCAGGATGAATGGTATAACTCTCACTGAGTAAACAAGAAGATACTTAATTGGGGCTTTTGAATACAAATATTGGATGAAACACAAAGAATACAAAGAAATATTGGATGAAACAGAAGAAGTTAGGAAAAACACTATGAGGAGAAAAGAATATATGCAGAGGTCCTAGTGAATGAAATACTGCTATAATACAAAGCTATTAAGTCAGTTTTCAAATGATGAAAACCCATGTGACAATTTCCAAAAAATAAATCAACAAGGCTAAAAGCAAAGATGGGAAAATACTGATAAGGGATCTGTGGTCTTACTTCATCAGAGTCCCTAAGTGTGAAGTGGTCTTCCTTCACGATTGTTGTCTAGAGACTAAACACTAGGTTATGTTACAGCATGAGCTTTCTCTGCACTTTAAGTGTTAGGTAAATATTCTATGGCGGTAACTTTTGTGATTATTTCAAAACGTAAAACATGAGATCAGATGGCTATATCTGCCTAAATAACACTTTACAATTCTTATATTCTTCCACTGGCTGCTAAACACTTTGAACTACATGAAGCTTGTTCAGAAAATGATGGGTTTTAGGTGGGCATGATGAAAAAGCAAACAGAGTTAAGTCTTCCACTCATGCTTTAAGTATGATTTCAAATTATGTCAATGGGTTGGATCAAAATTGAATTTAATTTGAAAATTAAAGCTTCTGTGCTAATACAAAGCAAGCATACCTAATTGAATTTCTTCATCGTTTTCAGAAGCTGTCTGGATAATGAAATAATGACATGGATAGCAGGCAACGAGAACAAATTTCTGTGAACTCTAACACTTTATTACTGGCTTGGAATTTCCATTTGAGGCAGTCCCTCCCTGTTGGATTTTAATGCCTCACAGTCTTGCTTATATTACTAATCTAAAAAAATCAGTGAGGTATCAAAGCATTTGTGCATCCTTCCTTCCTTGCTTGCTTCTTTCCATACAGATGAAAAACTGGGGCACAGAAATAGACTAAGAACTTGGCAGATGAAGGGAGTACTGCACAGTATATGTAGAGTGTGATCTTGCAGCATGGACTGGTTGTCTGTAGGCTGTTCATTCATTAGTCAGTGCATGGTAGTTTACAAAGTCTCTACCCTGGGATATGGATATACTGTGCATACACATAGGAGTCAATATTATTCACAAATTAGTTCTAGTTAGCAAGCCGTTACAGTAAATTACAGAAAGCAAAACAGTAATGTTTCCAGAACTGCACACTCATTTGTTTTACAAAAAAAAATATATCTGTTTGTTGAACAGCTGAAAGAGAGCGGCTGGTTTGCTGCAGGTTCGTGTCCTTGCTCCCTTCTCAGTAGCTGATTGCCTTTGCTTACTCAGGGGACTTCTTCATAGGAAGTGAACCCCTGGCTGTTTACTCTAGGCAGTGTTCAGTCTCTCAAAATTAACCTCCCCAGATTTGGAAGACTACAGCACGGAAATATAAAAGGTTCTAAAAACTTGTGCTATCCTAGGAAAAACCAAGCCTGTAAGTCTTCACTTTGAGATAACCTCTGTGAATCCTTGCCAGAGATACCTTATTCTAAAGGATTTCAGCTTTTGTCTTATTTGGGGTATGTGGAAGTCTGCACAGGACTTGGCCATTTTTCTAGATCTGTGAAGCTCGAGCTTACAAAAAAGTTGGCGCAGCACATTTTCATGTAAAACTACATGTATTCTGCTGGACCCAAGTCAGAGGTCACAAATGCGTGGTATAGTTAATTTATTCCAGCTTCCTAAATCCTGGCAAAAGCTGTGGAAAAAAATGTCTAAAAATAAAGTTATAAAATCTAGGTAATGTTTGCTATGAGTGTTGCCTATCCATGCATGTGAATATAACTCTTTACCTGAAACTCTGTAACGCTTATGCTGCACTCAGAGTAATACTCCTTTGCTCAGAAGCACATAGATGCCTACACACCAATCCAACTCAGTTTGCAGAAGATACTGCTAATTCTAGTCTTGATATTAATATCTAGACTATATATATATATATAAATATATATATAGTCATCTAGATATTAATATCTAGACTATATATATATATATAAAGTTCATTAGGTCTTTACACTAGAAAGGTGTCATCTTTTTTAAATGCTCTTACCCAAAACAGTAGGTATGATAGCTTTTTAAGAAGTAATTATGCAAGTTGCTCTTTGTTCATTATTTCAAACAGTGGGTGAAGACTACTTTTCTAGAGTAAAATCTTGTACTCTTCTCATGTTATCTGTAATTTCATATATAGTCCTCTTGAAATAATTGTATACATAATAAAAATGCTGCTTAATAGGGGTAATAGTGCCACTATAAAGTTGTGCAGTGTGATGTATTTCAATTGCTGACAAATTTTGGTTTTCCAGTAATTATTCTTGTAAAATTATACCTCAGTTATATATTTTAATATAAACAGGTTCAGAGGGGAAAACAAACACAGAATGGAATGGTGTCTGTAAACCATCCGCAAACAGAAGGAAACAGAAGACCTGCTGTTTTATTTTAAAAAGAAAAAAAAAGTGCAGATCATCAATCAATGTGAATGGCATTACCAAAGGATTCGTTTGAACGGATTAAGTGGCTTATCAGAGCTGCCTGGTGAGTTTTACAGATCACTAAATTTTTTTAACTAGAGTCACTGAGATACATTCTTAGCTATCAATTAAACAGTAATCACCAGTTAAATGATCTGCAGTCTGTCTTAAATTTTATAAGTATATAGTTTATATGATTTCTATTCATCTGTAAGTTCATATCATTTAAACTTAGGGTACTACACCATTTAAATAGTAGAGAACAGGAACTATAATTCTGAATCTGTTTTAATAGAAAAGATGTTCTTCCACCTACATTCTCATGTAAAATGAGAATGCACATTTGTAGAAGTAAAAGTAATGATTAAACCTTAATGCCTGTGCCAGAATAATTTTGCAGATGAGGGATAAATATTAAAAGGTATGAAGACAACTTTTAGAAACTATGATGAGAATACTTGCTAGTACTAGCTGTGGCAGGAGTTCTTTATAGAGGAAAATGATCCTAAGGAGAAGATGACGGCCAGTGTGACCAGGAATGTACAAAGAGCAATGTGTGAGATAAACAATTCCATTTCTATGATATCTTCCATAGAAAGTCAATGCAAACCCAAATATTCCCAAATTCGTAATAAACCCAAGTAACTGCTATGGCACACTGGTTCTTTTAAACTCATTTGTCACACAAATAACTCATTCTTTCTATTTTGGATAGTATTTCTGTCTTTATTATACCACCTGCACATGCGGTTTAAAAAAAGCCCACTGAACCAGTTCATCTTAAGAGTATTTCCTGTGTTTCCTATGGTTTCTGCCAGCTAGATTTAATGCTGCCAGTAAGTCTTATGGATGTAAGGTCATTAAGAATAATGCACATCACCAAGCCCAGGAATTTCTGTCATACCCTCTCTTCCCTTGTTGTGTTGTGTGATTTCATCTACTAGATGAAACACTTAGATATAGGGCATCTTCACTGTCCTTTGACGGTGAACCATACTGAAAGACAGTGCTTTAAGGAGCTTTAATCTTTCTTGCAGCTCAGGTCTTCAGAGGCCCATGTCAGGGGACTAACCAGAGGCAGTGATAGTGATTCTAGTGA